ATTAGCCGTGTTCGTGTTTTTCTTTCCTTGATTGGATATGTTTGTGTTTCGTTTTTTTTTTTATTTTTACTCGTTACAATTTTTCCGTTTACTAATGAAGAGAATATAAGGGAGATAAGAGGTGAGGACGGGATAAAGAGGCGAAGGAAGGTTTCTTTTAATATAGTTCTTAATGTTGGCTGAAATATCCGTGAAATCATGAACAGGATATCTGAGTAATACAGATAATCCGCAGGACGATTATATACGTCTTGTAGCTAATTAGTTGTTACAACGCCAATTTTCAACGTGTTTTAATGCTTTTAAATCGATAAGCAGCGACTTCTGGCAGAAAAATTTATGTTAAAGAAAACATTGTAATTTTATTCATCTTGCTTTGTAGCTTGTCGATAAAAGAATTTTACATAAGCGAATAAATTATCTATCGGTTACTAATAAATAATAAAAAAATCTTTAATTTCACTTTTTCCCCACAAGAAAAAGAAATAAAAGCTATAAAATATTAACTAATGAAATATAAAATGTCCCTAAATGTTTCTAATTCAATTCTTGTTAAAATACTAATAGGAAATCCAAGGATTCTTATTAGGCTCCAATCAAAACGAACATGACATTTTAATTCGACATTTCATATTACACGACTTAATATTTTATAGCTCTCTTTTTTCAGAAAAAAGATGATTTTACAATTTTCTAGAATTCATTGAATGAACAATTTCTAAACCCCACGTAAACAAACTTCAATGTCAGCGTTAAACAAAGATACCTCGACACAAGTAAAGGTACTTAGATTGAGAGAAACTTTTTTTACTCTATTATTTTACACCGGCACGTAAACCGACGAAATTCCTAGACAAAAGGCGAGGACATGTAAGCCTGCAGAGATGCAACCCGAGCTGCAGAGGTGCATATTGTGGAAAATAGATCCACAGGGGACTGCGGTGCGTCGGCCGCGCGCTCTGTTTCAGGCTGACTCAGCCGCTATCTCGCTCTCGCACTCATTAAGCCGATGCAGCGTCGGCAAAGATCAAAGCTCGTCTTCTACGGAGGACCGCTTAATACTGGGTGGCGAGTTAAGAGTGTCGTAAAAATTATTAACGGTCCCTCCGCACGCTGTGCCTTATCGCCGGATCGGCAACTACAGTGGGGTGCATTCGTCGAAGCCGCTACCACAATATGCAATGACATTTTTTTTCCGTTCTCGTTTTGCTTCGTACTCTTAATTCGCATTTGGAACTTTGTGCTCGTGAAATTTACCTTCTCGCCGATCTCTCTCATTCTGTCCCGTGAACATCTGTAAGAATGCAAAAAAAAATGAACCAGGCTGCGTTTAAATGTAAGCTGTATAAAAGGGGGGAACGAGGGAAAACAAGGGAGAGAATTTAATTAATGTTTTATGATGTATTAATTTACGATTATCGATGGTAACGATCGACCGTTTAAGGCTTGAAAAAATTTCTTTAAAAATACCGCTATAAATATTACGATAATTTCGCAATACGAAGGAAATTGGTTGATCGTTCGATTTATTTCTACGTGACGCCGCTTGTATCGTACTCGGATATTCTGTTACGTAAACGAACGCCGGTATTGCATTGTATCGCTTTCGGACTGACCTGAAGTAACACTTACAATTTACAACACGTGCTTGTATTTTCAAAATATCAACGTTTCTCGAGATATTTTTTAATTGAGAAATATTCGTCCTTTCGTCGTTAACGTTAAACCGAAGCTTTATAGTGACGTTACATCGATTCCTCCTTTCGACAGTACGAGACAGTCAATGAAAACGATCACGAGATCTCCAGAAACGAAGAGTAAAATAAAAAAAAAGCGACATCTGTCCGTATCAGAATCGAAAATTGTCTCGTATTTGGTGGAACAGGGTGTCGAACTTGGGATCGCAGTGGGTGGTCGCGTATTTATACATTACCTCTTTGGATCTGCCAGTTTGTCTCGCTTTCTCCTTCTTCCTCTTATTTAATTTTCTCCGTTCGCTGCCTCTCTCTTTCTGGCCTGTTTGCTTACTCTCTGTCCTTCTTTTCACACTGCTTCACACAACACACACACGTTCCTCACACGTGCGCATGAATTTCGAATGCGTGTGAGACTGCCCAATGAACGTTCTGGCGTGCATGCACGTGCGTGCTAGCAACAGGCGTGCACGCACACACGCGCAACTTCGAACAGGAGTTGTGTACGACGCCTAATGAAGTCGCATCGTTATACAGATATTATGAAGACAGGTTAATAAGTTAATCGTCCAGTGTAACGCTATTCCCTGTGGCTTAATGAACGCACTCAAAACAGTTACCACTTTTTCTTCTGTGCACGAGATATTCACGTTTTGATTTCACAAGAAACTTTTATTTATTACACTTATACAAATATCGGAAAACTTGAAGTACGTTTGTACCTCGTGTGCGTCGTGAAAATAAACAGAGTCACTGTTGAGGTTAGTTTACAATTTAGAACAAAATACAATGTAACGTATATGTAGAGGAATATTGTTAAAATCTTATACGTTATTCGTAAGAAACGTTAGATTCGATTATACGCGGAGCAGATAACAATAATAACAGGAGAGAATGCAGTCGAACCCTATAGTTGCGGCCGCCAATCAAATCATAACCAGTGGCAGGGGAGACGCGTATAATCAATTATGCAGATTCGTTTCAGCGGCGGTGGCGGAGAGATGGTGGCTGGTGGAGCAGTAAACTGCCGTATTTCCGGTCCCGATTAATATTGACCAGAGCAGCAGTGATTTCGATCTGGCAGAGGAGTCGTGTTTACGTTCGGTACATCGGTGCCCTTTTCCGCTCGTCTTCAACTCTCCACCGCACGTCGACCGCGTTCATTGCGCTTCACGGATCATCCGGACCTTCTCTACTAACACAGAACGCAAGAAGCGTATACAAAACTTTTCGAGACGGTGTGGAAGCAGTGATGAGGAGAGAGAACAGTGAGAGAGAAGCCGGGAAAAAGAGAAGGAGATGCTGCGGCGATCTGTAAGCGGCGTTGTGTGCCGCGTACGTGTCACGTAGTCACTCCCGGTGTGTGGGTAATGTTTTTGCTCGAGGGGAAATGGTACCGCGTGTGTGGTCCTGCGTCGTGCCCCCTGCACCCCTTTGATGGCACATCACCGTATCCTAGCAACGTAGAACGCTACGCCGATTCGGCCAATCACGAATGAGTTCTGATCACTTCGGCCAAACTCGGCTTGCTTCGCCTCCGACGTCATCGGTACCTGCAGTGACGTATCGTTCTGCCGCGAAAATTGGGATGCACAGAAAGTTTGTTTCGTAGAAAATTATTTATTTCACATTTAATCACTGTTATTTGTTTTAGGATTTCTACGATTGTCATTTATAGTAATATGAATAGAAAACTTAAGTAATAGTGATATTTTAAATAGTAAAGAAAATTAATATATGACTTGGTGATATGGTATAAGGTTAGAAGTTAATTCTCACTTTCCACATGTCTTGAAAACATTTCTATTACGCGTAATTATACGAAAATATTAAATATGAATTTTTTTATCATTATATTGATGTTTATAAACAGTAATGCACATAACATGTACGTAGTATTTGATTGCAAAAGAAACTTGTACATGAGGCTTAATAGACATTGCTTACCTTATCTTTTTATATTAATGTTATTAAAAAATGTAGAATCATAAATTTCCTTAACCAAGCGAGGTCCATTCAAGCGCGGTCGTGAAATTACGGTCCTGAATGTTTGTGCAGCTCCGATCTCGGCAAGTGGCGCCGTTGGAGGGGGGCCGTCAACTATGGCCGGCACAGAAGGCAGGCCACGAAAGAAATGTGGCACCGCATTTCGCTTAGTACGGACTTAGACTGCTCTAAGTGGTGGTCGTGCACGCCGGTGTCCGATCACGACGACGACGACGACGTCGTCGCTTCAGAACGCGTGACAGAGAGATTACCAGACTTTAACGAGAGTTTCCAGCTGCCCTTGCTGGACTCTAGAACACTCTCATCCTCTCACGTCGCCTACGCCTTCTTGCGTAAACCGGATGCTCGTCACTGCCGCTCTTATACGAATTCGGTATTCGCGGCGAATTTCCTAAAACGTAGTGTGAATTTTCGAGCGAGATACAACCGTGTCAAGTGACAACGATTGTGACAGTGACACTGGAGTGCGCGTGGTTGCGTGTCATGCTAGTATCGTGCCGATAGAAAGACACAGTGAATTCAATCGTTGTTAACGCTGGATTGTATGTGTTCATTTCGTTTTCATGACATAAGAAGAGGCACGTGCATACGAAAGCGTGGTTGTTTCCCGCGGAAATAGCGTACGATCGGCGACACTCTTGTCCCGGTTGCGCGTGATATTTCAAAACAAGCAAACTCGCGTGTGCGCCCTCGTGCTTGTCTGCGGTACCGTGAATCCCGCGAGAGGGAGATACAGAAGAGAGAGGGAGTACGAGGATCCCGCATCAGAGTAGAAAAAGCAAAAGGGAGAGAGATAGAGAAAGAAATAGAACGAGGAGACGAATTCGTAAAGAGGAAACAGTCACGTATATTTACTCTTTTACTGTGGTACGAAGCTAACCTAAAAACCGCTTCTGAGTCCGTTTTGTGCGTATACCATTGATGAGTATGATACAGCCGCGCATGCGCACAACAAATTGTGTATACCTCGTGCGCGAATTTTGATTACTGTGCTCGTTGTACATATACGAATTGCGCGGTAAACAAGAAGGACCGATTGAACGTGTGCTGTGACAAGTGTTTCTGGAGAGATTTGTGCGAAAATTACGTGCAACCGCGGTAACAAGTGCAAAGTGAAACCGTTCTTTTCTATTTTTTTTTCTTTCGTGTTCGTGTCTCATTCATGTTTAATTTTTGACGTCCGTGTTGCACTTGGTAACGTTACAAGTAAATCGGCCCGTAAGAAACGTCATATTGGAGGGGAGTAATATTAAAAATAATCATACTGCGAATTGTGTCGGGGCGAATGTATGACGGATCATGGTTTCTGCGTCCGGCCCAACAGGGATCCTAGCGGGACGCCCTTCTGGTTCTCAGTGCCACCAAGGTTCACAATTGTCACAGAATGGATGTACCACGAAAATTCATACGGAGAAGAATGTCAAAACCTTGGAAAATGCGAAGCAACGACATGAATCGGATCTTTACATTAGACCAAGCTGGACCGATGCAGCGATAGCGTTGGATCAACTTGAAAAGGTGGGTTTCTTTCGTTGACAGTTTCATTTCTTACAATTCATTTTCGGTGATTATCATTATGTTACTGTTTTTAAATTTACAACAACTATATAAAGCAGTGGAAACTTCTTGCAAAGGTTCTTTAAAATGTTGCGTATTTCTGTTAACCTCTTTCCATTCAAGTCACTAAATACTTATTCGTAAATATAAAAATGCAGGATGTTTAGAAAAATATTTAGAAGCAGAAATAAAGATAAGCAGATTTTTTTTAGAATACTTTTAATGCGTATAAAAGTAGTGAATACGGAAAGCTGTTGTATTCTACACAGAATTTCTATCATAGAAAATTACAGAATTCAAGCGTTGTTCTATCCCGAAAACATTATTTTGTTTGCTTACCGCTTCAAATGTTTTTCAAACGCTCCATTATGTATCCCCTCGTACCTTCTATATTATAAAAATAGGAACAAAGAATACAGGCAGCTACAGCCATTTTTTTTCTTTGAACCTGAGAATTGTTTCACCGACAGCACACTATAAAAAGAAATTCCAAACATTTCTTTCACACTTTCCTTATTTCAATGAAATGTATCTTACACATAGACTATTCACCCAATTTCAGTTATACAAACACTAATATCGTTAACAGGAAAAATCATATAAGACATTCGCATAATCTGTATAAACGATCCATTCTATCAAACACCTTTTTTATTTATCGACAAGAAAAGTGAATGTAGATTACTATTTAATTTCTAGACTATCGAGATTGCGAAATGAAAACTTCACTGTGCAGACAGAGGCAAATAACTTACTTTAGAAATTAAGCGTTGTGTGGTACATTTCGAAACAGTCACGTATGCACAGTCTCATGTTTTCACAACAGTATCTTATATCTTTTTTTCTACCATTTTTTGTGCACGCTACACAATGCCTTTAGGGATTGGATTTCTCCTCTTTCAGAGTAATGTTTCGAATGAAATGTCTTTGTGTTAATCGAGATACAGTAGAATTCCAATAATCTGGCATCTGATAGTTCGTGATTCGACAACATCAGTAATTAATTAAGAGTGCTTTTAAAAATAATTACTGTTATATTAGTCCGATTTATGTCGTGTTTGGACTCATTTTCATCGGAAAAACGTTACTGTATTAACTATTGCCTTTTTAAAAGTATTTTTACATCACACTGATATAATCCAATAATTCGGCATATTTGGTAATCCAAAAAATGTTTTGTTCATGTTGATTATTTTTGAAATAGCCAAATTTTAAAAACATTTCTTCTATTAAATTAATTCCAAATTGTAATTGATTTTTAGATTGTCACATATTGTGACAATAAATGATCATGAAAAAATCCTTCGGACTCTTTCGATGTTATTGCAAATGAAACGTGATTTTACATATATCTACGGAGTGTGAAAAAATGTTTGTCTTCGGAAGGTTAGTACCTACAACAAATTCCTTCTTCTTGACCATTGTGTATAAAAATTGACGATCGTTCAACGATCGCCTTTGTATATCTAACACATTTTGTCAGTCTCTTTTTTGGCAATATATTACATAATTTCACAAGATCCATCATTCGCGTTTTGAACCGGTAATACTCATTTATCATCGTATACCAAATTGCTATTCTACCCATATATTTAACACTAGGTTTACGGTACGCGTCATTTCGACGCATTTCGAATTTCACAAGGAAAATTACACAAACCGTTTACATTTCTCTCCGTTTACGTTTCATTTATAAGTTAACAGCGTATAATATGTTGTTTTTAAATAAAATAAGTTATTGTTTAAAGAAAATGTGACGCTTGTCCGTAGAGATAGGTACATAAGAAATGTCCGTAAACCTAAATAACTAAATAAATAAGCAACCAGTTGCATAAGTCTCTGTATCTAGTATTGACACGGTCGACGTGTGAAAAACTTAAGGTCGAGATACGGTGGCGGTCTGCAAGGGGTTAATCCACAAGTCCATCGTAAAAAGGAGAAACAAGGAGAGAGAGTATTTAGTATATATAGTAAGTCTCGTGCAGAAACCCGACGTTTCTTAGGTCGCCGTTCGAGTCACGCGTGCTTTTGCTATCGTGACCCATCTAAATAATCGACGAGATACACGCTCTCTGCGGGTTATACGGCCATCGCTGTCTCCAGCGGCCTGTGGAGGTCAGTTACGCTAACTAGACGTACATAATAGCGTGATCGCACGCCACTCTGTGAGCAGCCCACCTTTCGGCCGCCTCTGGGACGGGAGATAACAGAGCGTGAATTCGATGCGAACTGTATTTGCCTATTCGCCGCGACTGTTACTTTCTGTCGGCCATTACGCGATAACTGTAATTGACAAAAACAAACATGCGCGTTTCCTGGAATGAAAATACATTTAAACTGCCGCTGATTGATTTCAGGTGCTTTCTAACGACGATAGAGACTCTCCTGCCACGTGTAATGTGCTCGTTGGAGAAATAAAAAAGCGCGTTAAATGCGATTGAAGGAAAACTCTTGTAGGTTTTTATTTTACCTTTTTGACGGAATGTGGTATTTTTGAGAGAAATGAGTTCGGTGAATTTGAACGGTGTTTGTGTAATTTGGGTAATTTCATTTGAATAGTATTAGTGACTGCAATAGTGGTGGTTAAGGTTGTCAGCTTTTTAATGCAGATATATTGCAAAAATGAAATTGTCATGTTGTTTGGAAGTTCTGAAATCTAGATTTGAACATGTTTTGCTGTTTGTCGTAACACGTTCAGGACGAAGTGACCCACTGATGGATCACCAAATTATTTCAAAATATTTGGTATAATTGATTTTTAATTTTTTCTATAATTACTCAGTTCCATTGAAATTTTCCATAATTCAAAAGCCCGCCATTTTAACCACCGACAGTAGTAGAAATAAAATTGGGAAAGCACGTAGGTTTAAATTTTCTAAGAAAGAAATGGGCGAATATGGAAATTTACAAATAATCTTGCAACAGTTCTCCCTGCTCTGATACTTTTAGATTTTAAGGTGAAAAAAAATAGCGGGTACAGGTATCTCTAAATAATTTTGCAAAAATATCCCCTGCTTCCTCTGGCAGCTTGAAATGTTCTAAGAAAGAAATGGCTAATATACAGCAGAGCGTCAGTTATCCGAACCCCGATTGTCCGAATCGTCGATTATCGTTCGAGGAGTAAACAAACTTATGGTGTTGCGGTACCGATTGACGAGTAAAAAATAAACTTTCTTAATAAATGTATATCGTTATTTCAAAGCATTTTCTTTTAAATACTTTCATCGATAAGCAATTTTAGGCTTCATTCCTATAGTTATAAACTGGGTAAGTACATGTATGTACACTACCGGCCAAAAGTTTGGAACCACCGAGCATTGCAATTTACACAAAGAACGCTTTGAGAATTTTTTATCATTCGAATCAATCGATATGGGATAAATTGATAAAAGTAGAATTGAGATAAACTTGAAATCTATAAAAAATTAGCAGCAGATTTAGTATTGATGAGAAGTGGGAGGTGATTCCAAACTTTTGGCCGGTAGCGTGTATGTTTCATTAAGTGAACTGTTTGATCATCCGAACAATTCGATTTTCCGAACCACCTCAGTCCCAATTGGTTCGGATAACTGACGCTCTACTGTAGTTATTTACAATCTATCCTCTCACCTCTTCTCTCAATCCATCAGCCACTCCATCGACACTTATCCCCGTACAACATGCATGAACGCTTTCTTTGCAGCATGTAGATTCGTAGTTGTTATCGACCTACCCGAAGAAGTCTCCGGAAGAATTTACCGGGAATAATGTTTCATAGCGTCACGAATATTCGTTGCACACGCTCAGAGAAGCGTGCCCTTTCCACGAATGCCTCTCGAAATTCTCTAGCAGGCTGTATAGCTGCTAGCTGTAAACTTTCACACGCGCGGGTGGTCCGGAGACGTGTTTTTGAAGGTGAGAGCTGAGAGTTGGGGATAACCGAAAGAAAGACAGAAGGATGGTTGTGAAGTGTAGATCGACGAAGGATCGACTTCCTGCCGAACGAATACACACACACCCTCCTTGTGTTTTTCCGACATGAACCTCTGGTTCCTCTTAAAAAAATCCTCCTCCAGCGACGAAGACGATCTCGGGGTCTTACGACATCGAGATCGTCCCTCGAGATCTTTCCATCTCGAATGCCTGGCAGAATGTGCACAGCACGTGAACCCCGGGCCCTATCACCTTTCGAAACGGGCCCAAATATGGTGCCCTGCGAGCTTTCGACGGCAGGCCTTTCCTTCGGCTTTTCTCAGAACCCTGAAACACACCCCCTCGAACAGAGCTCGAACACCTTCTGTCGTTAGCTCCATTCTTGACACTCGTTCTCTCATTTCCCATTTTCCCAATCTTTTGTTTTGTCTGACCTCACGGTGCACGGAAACGCACTGAGAAATGTCGGAAGGAATGCTACTACTATTAAATACAGGATGGGCCACGTTAAACAGACCACCTAATTATGTTCTTTGGTTATGGCGGTACGAAACAATTTTTATAGCTGATTTGAATGGTTTTAAAGGGTGAAATGAGATGGGAGAATGTTTTCTGTTTTTTGTTTGGAAGGTTTACAGCAGACATCGATGTGCATTTAAACGTGCATGATGATGTGGCATTAAAATGATCCTGGATTCTAAAATTTTTATATTTTGCCATTCTCATTTTTACATTTTATTGACCCTTTGCAACCGTTTAGATTAGGTGGACAAATTTTCTCGTGCCGCTATTGCTAGAGAAGATAATTAACATTAGAGTTTCTCACGTTTACAGAGCATAGTGTTGTCGATTGTTCAATTTATTCCTTTCATTGTCCTCTTATTTTTGTCATCTTTAAGTCATCTTGCGGTTAAATATCGGAAGACTCTCTATAACGCGGGAAATATAATACAATTTCCACCGGGTCAAATTTAATTAACACAAAATTACAAATTCAGAATTGGTATGTTCTTTTTTTATTTTATCACGCTATACGAGGTCCTACTGTA